GATGCTGTTCCTCCGCCCAAGCGAGCAACATCTGAAGGCCCTTATGCACGAAAGGATGTTGTAGAAGCAAGAAGGTTCCCTGCTGACAGCAGAAAAGATGCTCCTCTCTCGAAGCGTGTACAAGATGACACTCAAGCTACTCCATTATATGATGATGATGATACCAACCAGGAAGCCAGAGAAACTGCATCTGCACCAAGGCAAACAAGGGCTCAAGATCCATATGATACCTCTGAAGGAATAGGAACTGACCACTTTTCATCATCTAGACCACATCCTGTCAATGCTCCACATGATGCTGTTCCTCCACCCAAGCAAGCAGCATCTGAAGGCTCTCAACGTGCAACCACACCATACCTAGCTGCTCAAGAGGTCTTCCAGCAGGGTAGGAAAAGTCCTGCATCAAGGCCAATAGTGCCTCATGATGCCCAAGGCAGCACTGAAGAAGAAGAGACTGTGGAATCATCATCCAAAGCACATCCATTGGATTCTCATCTGGCTGATGTTCGTCCACCTAACCAATTTTCGGATGAAGATGGTTATGGTGCAATGGCACCATTGCAAACAGGAGATACAGATGGTCCATATAATGAGAAGCGAGATAGAGGCGCTGCTGCTCCAAAGCGGATGATGTCTCCAGATGCCTTTGAAGAAACGAAGATGACTGATTCTGCATCATTTGAAGCACAAACACCAGATCATCGGCAAGCTGATGCTCCTCCACAAAAGCAACGGCCAACTGAAGATCCTCAAACTATTGCTTCACCATCCAAGAAAAGATATTCTGATGATGAAGATACGGTCAAACAAGCTAAGCATGCTCATCAGAAACTGCAGTCTGAGCAGTGGCATGCTGCTACAACTGGTTTGAGTAACCTAAAGGGAGAAACTGATGATTTTATGCCTCCTACTCAACAAGAAAAACCTAGCAAAGATGTGCAACATATCTCATCACGAGATGCAGAACAAGCAAACACTCGGCCTCTTGCACAAGAATCAGTAGGCATGGATGGACAACTGGTGCAAGGACCAGAAAGGACAGCTCGAACATCCCCAACAAGATATCCAAGAGCTGAAGAAACCAGCAAACAACCTAGAGCCCCTGCTTCTATACCAACACATATAGCAGCTCAAGATGCTAGGGATGTCTTTAGAGAGTCAAAGGTTGCTGATTCCACACCATTGCAAAAGCGATACCCTGATGCCAAAGATGTTGCCAAGAAATCAAAAGTTACCTTTGAAGAAACAAAACATTCTGATTCTGCACCATCACGAGGGCAACCTTTGGATTCTCAGAGAGCTGATGCTCCATCATGGAAGAAAGAAGCTGCTGATGCTCCATCACGAGGGCAACCTTTCTATTCTCAGAGAGCTGATTCTCCATCATGGAAGAAAGAAGCAACTGAAGATCCTCGTTCAACTGCACCAGTCAAAAAGAGACACTCCGATGTGGAAGACACCACCAAACAATCTAGGGATAATGGTTTTAAGCCAAGGCAAATTGTGGGTCAAGATGCTCAAGGCACCTACAAAGAAACAAAGCCCAGTGATCCTGTGTCATATAGAGAACAACAATCTTCAGATACTTGGCAAGCTGCGCCCACTCTAAGAGAGAAAATAACAACTGAAGGTGGTCCCAGTGTGACCCCACCATCTAAAAGAAGGTCTCCAAGTGATGAAGACACTATCAAGCAACCTAGGGGCACTGCTCCAGCACCTAGGCGGACAACTTCTCATGATGCTGATGTGACATTTCAAGATTCAAAGCCTGCTGATTCCATGTCATCTAGGGAGCAGCCTTTGAGATCAAGACAAGAGGTTGAAGATTCTCGTAGCAAAACTTCAGCATTTGACAAGACTCGTGCTTATGTTGAAGATAGCACTAGGCAAGCTGCAGACACTGATTTTGGGCCAAGGCAGAATGGAGATGAAGACACTGAAGACATCACTGAAGAAAAAAAGGTTGCTGATTCTGCACCATCTGTCAGAGCAAGACACACTTACACCCCACGAACTGCACGTCCTCTGTCACAGCTAGCAGAAGAGGAAGAAGATGCCCAGGATAAATACAGAGAAGGTAGAGAAACTGCACGTCCTCTGTCACAGCAAGCACAAGAGGAAGAAGATGCCCACGATAAAGACAGAGAAGGTAGAGAAACTGTTTCTGCACCAAAGAAAATGGTGTCCAGAGATGCTCATGACACATATGGAGAAAGAAGGACTCCCCATTCTACATCCACCTCACCCACACCATCCAAAGCACAACCTGCAGATTCTCGGAGCCCTATCAAGGTGGAGAGACCACGTTCTGTTTATGAGGAGGACCATCTCGTTGGCCAAGATAGCCATAAGCAACCTCAAACCCTCCCAACTGGTGGGAGAGCAGATGGCTCTACACCAAAGCATCAACAAGATCCTGTGGTTCCATCTATTTCTGAAGAGAAATCAAGTACTCCTCCAGCTCCACCAAGAGCAAGAGTTCGTGATGTTCATCCTGCTGAAGAGCCATTTAAAGGAGACATTGTTGATGACCGAAAAGGAGCACCACCTCTATTGGGCCAAGAACCAACTTCCCAAGTCCAACGTGCCACAGAACTGTCACAGAAAGCAGCTCCTGATGGTGAACTGTCCACCATTGATCAATGGCGGTGCACATCTGTGCCATTACAAGGTGGTGATGTGCTGGGTGGGTCTACCATTGATCAAAAGCCAACACCAATGAGTGAACAATCAATACCCAGTGCTCGGCGTGCCAATGAGATGGTCAAAAAAGAGCAAAGAATGGTACCACCTGCACGAACAGGAGCACAAACACCCGATGTTCAGCGTGCTCCATCATCATTCTCAAGAGCTGACACGTCTGAAAGAGATGGGGAGCCGGTACAAATGCAAGCACCTACTCAGCATGCTCGTCCTACTTCAGTGCCTACCAGAAGAGCAATTCCTGATGCTCGTGACACTAGTGATCAAGAGTTTGCAAACAAATCTGATGCCCAAAGATGGAATGCCTTGAAAGCTAAGCATGATTTAGCCATGACCAGTGAAGATGATCGGAATGCTAGTCCATCAACTCATGCTGCTGCTGTTGACAACAAGACAGCATTGCCTGCTAGTGAAGCACAAAGTTCAGGCACTTGGCCCGGTTCAACAGGTACACCCGTAAATGCTCAACCTACCAGTGACGATGCACGTGTCGGAAGATTTCCACGTGATCAAGGGGCACAACCACCTGAATCAACTCAAGCACAACCCCCTTTTGATGCTCCACATGACTCTGTATCAACCCAAGATGTACCTCGTGACACCTTGGGCAAAACCAAATCTGCCAAACCAAGTTCAACTGAAGGCATGACACCTACAGCTGGACCAGCGCCAACTTTGAAGGCCCGACTTGCTGAACAGAAATCTGCTCCATCAGGTGACTCTTAAGTATATATTGACTAAAATATGAACCTTCTAACTGACCAAGCGAGGATTAGAAACATGAAAATATCGTCAAAGTTAATTGTTTGCTTCATGAATTTCAGATCAACAATTAGCTCGTGCTGCACAATCAACTTCAACTGAAGGCATGCCACCTACAGCTGGACCACAGCCAACTTTCAAGGCCCAACTTGCTGAACAGAAATTTGCCCCATCAGGTGACTAGTTATTCTTAAGTATCGATTAAAATATGAACCTTCTAACTGACCAAGGGAGGATTAGGAACATGAAAATATTGTCAAAGCTAATTGTTCGTTTCATCAACTTCAGATAAAAAAGTAGCTCGTGCTGCGCCTGAATCAAGTAAAGAAGGTACTGGTTTTTCTGCACCCGAGAAACCACAGACAATTTTTCGTCAAGAAGCAAGACCATCTGCGCCAATCACAAAACAAGTTCCATCCTCAGATGCCCACCATGATACCAGGAAAATCAAGCATGTCACCCTTGATAATTTCCCCCCTGATGTTTCACCAATACCACCTTTTCCAAGTCGTGAGCAAGTTCCTCATGCACCACAAACATTCCCTAATAAAAAAGACATGGCACCTGCACCAGCCACAAAGGACTCTCTAGCCCCAGATACCCAAATTGCTTCAGAAAATGTTCAGGAAGCCATTCCTGACAATTATCGCACTGATGAGTTAACAGTGCCACTTGTCTCGAGTGGAAAACAAGGTTCCTATGCTGGACCCTTTACTGAACCACAGGAAGGACCATCTCCTGATGCTCATGGTGCTGCAGATGACAAGGACATAACTAAATATCCATCTGAGAGTTATGTTCGTCCCACCAGTGGTAGCGATGTATTTCCTGCTGTGAAGAAATCTGCCCCATCAGGTAACCAGATTCTCTTTCAAGTTGAAAAACAGTGCACCTTCTAGGATCCTAAAGCTACCCTTCTCAAAACTAAATATCCTGCTACGTACTGACATCTCTTCTTGCTTTTTAGATCAAGATTCAATTCAGTCTGCACAACAATCTTCCTCAGCTGAGACTAGGAAAGAAGAGACTATCGTTTCTGCAGCTGGACCGACACTGCCCACAACCATCGGTAAAGACACACAAGGTTCTCGGCACCCTATCAAGGCGGAGAGAACACCTTCTGCTTATCAGGAGGACCATTTTGTTGCCCAAGACAGCCATGAGCAACCTCAAACCCTCCCAACTGGTGGCAGAGCAGATGATTCTACACCAAAGCGTCAACAAGATCCTAAAGATAAATCAAGTACTCCTCCAGCTCCACCCAGAGCAAGAGTTCGTGATGAACATCCTACTGAAGAACCTTTTAATGGAGACACTGTTGATGAGCAAAAAGGAGCATCACCTCTATTGGGCCAAGAACCAACTTCCCAAGTCCAACGTGCCACTGAACTATCACAGGAAGCAGCTCCCGATGGAGATATGTCCAGCAAACCTTCCACCATTGGTCAATGGCAGCGCACGTCTGTGCCTTTACAAGGTATAACTCCTAATTCTGGTGATGATGTGCTGGGTGGGTCTACCATTGATCAAAAGCCAACACCAATAAGTCAACAATCAATACCCAGTACTC